GCCCGACCTCTTTTCCAAAAGTAAGGATAAAAGAAAGCAAAACTCAAAAAAAAAAACGAAACGCTCGCCCGAAACAAAACAAACGCATCGCCGCGCCTGGCTACTTTAAAGGATTCGAACGCCCGACCTCTTTTCCAAAAGTAACGATAAAAGAAAGCAAAACTCAAAAAACAAAACGAAACGCTCGCCCGAAACAAAACAAACGCGTCAGGCGCGCCGCGTCAGGTGCGTCAGAATTTTACATCGGACGTCTCAAGATTCGCGATGAAAACAATCGCGCGTCAGAATTTTACATCGGACGTCTCACGCTATGCGATGCAAAAAACACTAACGTGGACCATCGCAGAAGCAAGAGTCGCCCTGCGGCCTACTAAGTTTTAGTAGGGTTATTAGATGTTGAATGACTGGTCCAGAATCATGTCCGAGTCCCTTTTCTACTACAGGTATCACTCAAGGTCCACCATAGCCATGGCCGCCTCTCCCACTCTTCACACACATAGGCCGAGGCTATGGCGGACTACTAGGCCTTGCTCCGATGTCCAAAGGACAACCCAAAGCAGCTATGGCTGCTCCAGCTCAGGCCGCCATGCCCAGCCCTGCCTTGAACTTCTTGGTGTAGCTCCCCCCGGCTGGGGACTCCTTGCTGCAGCGCCCACCAAGGTGATGAAGATGGCTGCCACCATAGCCAGGTAAGTACCCCTGGCACTCCTCCCCCTTCCTCCTTCCTTCCCCCTTCTTCCTCCCTCATGTCCTTCTTCTTCCTCCCCAGCAGCGCTGCTCCAGCTTAGCGCTGCTCCATCCAGCGCTCCACCAGTGTGTCGCCAAACTTGCACACCGAAAAAGAGGCCGGGTCTTCCGCCCGGCCGGAAGATATAGCGGCCTGCTTTGCGTCTTGGGCGGTGACTTCCAGGCCGGTGGCCTTCCCAAGCAACCGGTACCTCCTCCTCTTTTTGGAGGGAACATCATAGCAGACTCTGATATTGCCCCTACAGGCCCTAGACTCAGACTGGTACCCGCTAGACCTAGCCTACACTACCGGCCTCTAAAAATGCCACTTTTGTCTTCTTCTGCTCGGCCTCCGGTACCTGCATATTTACCCCCCTGCCGGGTGCGGTACCGGCCTACCCGCTACTTGAGTGCTTTTCCCCTGCTGCAACCCTTCGAAGCCACGGCCACAGGTAAGTACCAGCCCTGAGGGCCCAACGAACGAACGAGTGCCCTGGCAGGCCACACACACACACTCATACCAACCAGCACTCAGACAGGCACAGTCACACACACGCAAGCCAACCAGCACTCAGACAGACATGCAGTCCAGCAAGCACACACACACACACAGACTTAGCAGGCGGGGAACTCAGTAGGGCATTCAGTCTATGAGCAAAACTCAGAAATCAGCTGTGTGTTTCAGTCTGTGTTTGGACGGGTTATCACAGCCTGCAACTCATAATGGGTAGATCTCATCAGATAACCATAAGATGCTAGACACTGCAATGGAATTTGTTGAGGGAGTACACACAACCAGAGCACACCGCTCCCGACAAGGGCGGTGCTACAAGCAAGGCAAACATCCCTAAAATATTTGGACAAGATCGTATCCCTGGAATTGGCTGAACTGCTAGACCTCCCCTTGCAAAAGAAGAACTTTTCAATGCTGAAAAAATTATGAAACCAAACAAAACGAAGCCCAGATGACTATGAGGAGGAGGAGAGGTTCGAAGCCATGGGGAACAGTTATATTGTTTTACTCTCAAGCTCTCATTTCTTCTTCTTCAGGTTCCTGTCAATGATGCCGAGCGAAGCTTATGGAAACCAAATATTTCTGTTTTTGCTGTTGCAATTCATGTTTTGGAGAAATTTAGACTGCATTTGCATTTCATTCATGGAGCTGAGAGGATCAGATCACAGCCGCTTTCCTATTTTTTGACTTCTCATGAACCACCGAGCATGAGAAAGGCAGTGTGGATTTTGGACTTGAGATGAGATCGCATCAACTGACCACTAGAGGGGCTGACATCGAGGTGCCCGAGAGAGTGGCATATTCGTTATCAGCTCTGTGTGAGGCACTGGGGATTGATGAACCCTGTGTATTGCATCAAAACGTGAGCATAACAATTCACCAATGGACAAACTCCATTAGAGACATAGTCAAATTGTTCACGTGCCAAATTGTGCATGTGCTAGGGATGAGAAGATCAACAGCCAGAGTGGCATATTCATTATCAGCTTTGTGTGAGGCACTGGGGATCGATGAACCCTGCGTATTGCATCAAAACGCGAGCATAACAATTCACGAATGGACAACTCCATTAGAGACATAGTCAAATTGTTCATGTGCAAAATTGTGCATGTGCTAGGGATGAGAAGGTCAACAGCCGCCCCCCTTCAAAATTGTTCAAATTCTAATGGACTTGCCTGTCATTTCCAGGAGCCAGCAACAATCCTTACCTGGGGGTGTGGTCCCACTTCCACAGGTAAGTGGTAGGCTGACAACCTGCAGGACTGAGCTCCAGATCCACGTAGGGATTGTCCAAGCTGCATGCTATTTGGCAATAGCTCTGGTTGCCACCACAGAACAATATAGAGAATGCTCAAGCCCAACTACATTTCACATGTTGGGGCTACGATCATAACAGGCCTAAGGCCCTGATCCCCTCAATCGCCAGCCCGCTAGAGTGGAGGAGAATCTTGCACGGCTAATTACCTCTGTGCTACCCAGACGGATGGATCAGGCAGGCGGACAGCAGAACAATAAAAGTAACGGGGTGAAGAGAGGGAGAGGACCACGGATCAGCATCACACTCACCCTAGCAAAAGGAAAATAGCGGAGTGAGCAAGCAATCATTGGAAAGCATGGGGGGATACCCTTCCATTGAGGGTGCCTTCCTGGTAATACCATACACGGAAAAACTATAGAAAGACAATGAAGGAGAACATGGAGAAAGAGAAGACGAGGAGAGGTTTCAACAGAAGGTAAAAGGCATAGACAGGAGAACAGGCCAACTATGGGTGCTACTTGGATCTGACAAGATAAGGGCAAGACGGGAGGGGGGAGATTCCAGAGGGACTGGGAGACTGCCTGGGAAAATAGATAGTGCCGAAGCACAATGGGGGGCTGCAGATTACGGCTGGCTACATGATGAATGGGGACTCCAAATAGGGATTGGGATGACTGGCAGCTCCATGGGACAATGGGGTCCCCGAGGGATAGAGGACCATGCACAGCCTGGTGACCATTGACATGAATGTTTTGCTGAATGTGTTGTATTCAAGGGACGCTGGACCCGGTTTCCAGCAGGTGCCGCTCCCCACCAATAGATGGAGCAGCCCGCCAAATGACGCATACAGGTTGAGAATTCGCAGATCCTCACCTTGCCACTTAATGTCCATCCACGACCATCTCCCTTCCTCTCTATCCCCCTTGCTGCTAAGGATCTGACCTTCGGTCAGGATTTTTGACGTTTTTGGGATCAGTATCGTTGTCCCTCTATTGCTTTGGCCGTCTCTGTTGGACCATATTGCGACTGCACATCCTCCTATAGCTCTCTCCATCTTCTGCTGTATCCTCGGGTGACTATTCAGGTTGGAAAGATGTGTCTCTTGGAGGAGTATGAGGGCGGGTTTGGGGATGTCTTTCCCCACCATGCCTGTCCGGATTTCTCTGAGCTTGTCTTCGTCGGTCAGAATGTTCCCAAGACCATTGATGTTCCAGCTGATTATCTGAAGCCCATTAGCGTGCCAGTTTATTCTGGTTGGGCTTGTCTGCCCGTTCCTAATTGTTGTGGAATTCTCCATTGCTTCCTATTGCTGTTCCCTTTTTTTTTTTTTTTTTTTGCCTTTGGTTCTTGGTGCTGTGATTTCGTTAGTTTGTGGGGTGGGGTTGTAATTCTGCTATGGTAAGTTGATTCAGTCCACAGCTGCCTGGGTCTTGCTGCTGTCGGTGTCGGAGTCCCTGCTGTCCTCGCTTGCTGCTGAGGAGCTCAGGCCGTACTCTCCAACGCTGCTCTCCGACTTCGTTGGAGGCTCATCGTTGTCTCCCCCCGGGGAGATCTTGTTGTCCTCTTCCCTCTCTACAACTTCCTCGTCCTCCATGTCAGAATCTTCCCTTCCCATGTCCACATCGATGGGAGTTGCCTCGTCCTGCAGCGAGGTCTTGGAGGTCATTAGTCGGGTCCTGATGATGTCCGCCAGCATTGTGATTGTGTCCCATGCCCTCCAGGTCAGGCCTTCGCTGAGTTTTGCCCTCTCGTCGAGCTTGACCAGGATGTGGTCGAAGGGGGTGAAGATTGGTTCTTCCAGCGTCTTCCCTTCGGCTGTCTGTTCGCATGGTGGGACCCCGTACACGCCCATCGGAGTCTCCGTTGAGATGTTGTCCCTGATGCTCTTGGCCAGGGCTCTGTCGTCGTCGAGGGTTGGGATTGTGAATGCTATGTCTGTGGCCATCTGCCACTCATTGAATTTGCTCCTGTACCGCACTGGAAGCAAAGGTCTTACTGCCTTGATGGTTCCCCTATCAGTAATCGCTGCTTTGGGCACGTTGGGCGCCTTGTTCTCTGCGATCATGCGGACTGTGACAAACTTCTCGCCTTGCTCCCTTTTGTAGTCCTGGTTCTGGTCGAACGGTCTCTTCGTCTAAGCTGCGACTGTTGCAATCTCCTGCGTGAGTCTGCGCTGTTCGTTCTTGCTGCCAGCTTCGTCTTTGGGGGCCCCCCTTGGTCTCTTGTCCCTTCCCTTCGATGGTTTCCAGTTTTTGGAAACCATGTCGCGGATCGAGTCCGCTGATGTCTAGGGGTCGAAGCCTGAGCCACTTTCTGCTCCAGCAGATTCTCTTTCACTCTTTTTTTCGAAATACCTGAATGCGCTGAATTCCGAGAGTTCGGAGTTCATGCGCAGCAGGTCAAAAAAGTTCTTGGACTGCGGAATTCCGGCCACTGTTTTTCCGGTGGCTGGCTTCCCTGACTTTTCCAGGTGTTTCATGCATACCAGTCTGATGTCGAACTCTTTTTCCCTCTCATATTTAGCTTTTTGCAGGTATTCTTCGAGTGAGGGAATGGGGCTCGCGTTGTTTTGTGAAGTGTCCGTAGCTGAGATGTTCATTCCTGTTCTGGTTTCTGCAGGTAAGATAGGGTCTGTTCCGGGTGGGACATCATCCGTGGGGGAGTGCTCAGGTTTGAGCATCTTACCTGTGCTCCCCTCTGTTGCCCTCCTCTTTTTTCCTGCCCTGTCCTCATGACAGATCTTGGCGGAGGGAGAGGCGTTCCGCTTGAGTGCAGGGGGGAGCTCTGGTTTGGGGTGGCGGTGTTTAAGGGCTTGTTTTGCTTCCTGCAGCAGGGTGTTGTTGTCCAGGTTAGTGTTCTGGCACGTTTCTGCTGTCTATGTCCTGATTGTCTCCATGTCCCACAGCAGATCTTCGTGTTTCTTCTCTTCCCTGATCGCCCGTGGGTCTATGATCTGATCCTTGTGAATTTTGCCTGGGATACCTATTACTTTCTTTGCTCCCACTGCGTGCCATCTGCTATCTGAGGGCGGGAAAATGTCTGGCTGTTTCGTTGACGGGTTCGTGTTGTAAGTCCAGATCCATTTCGGATCGTCGATGGTGTCGTCGAAGACCCATCCATTGTAATCCTAGTCGTAGACGAACCATATCCCCTTTGCCTCTTCGGCTTCCACCAGCATGTTCTGTCTTAGCTTTTTCTCTTTGGAGTGTTCGGSGGATSTGGGGCACGYTGGGTCAGTGCCCAGGTGCCCTCTCTCTCTGCACCTGAAGCAGATGGGGGCATCTTTCGTTGAGACTGTGACCGAGGATGCCTCCTCCCCTATGCAGAATTCCCATTCTTCAGGGAATTCAGGATTCGAATCCGTGTTTACTTCCAAAACAACTGTGATAGAGTCACAGTGTGGGGCCAGAAACTCTGGGGTTGGAAGTACCCATTTCAACACTTTTTACTTTGTTGTTTGGGTACTCCACTTCCAATCTGTCCTTGATCAGTGGATGCCCTCTGATCGGAATGTTATCAAACTGGACCCACAATTGATCCCTCATGAGTCGCTGTTTTTGCCCTGTTGCCGGGGAGATCATTGCTTTCTGTGCTGTCTCTTGTTTCCAGCGGGACAGTGAGCACACTGATCCGTTGCAGTTTAGTGTGGTGTGTCTGATGATCAAGTTTGATGCTTGGTCGGCGTCTTTGAATACCACCATCATCATGTTTTTGCTGAGTACCAGGATGGAGAATTTGTCAGTGGTGGATTTGAGATTTTCGTGCCCCTGCATAGTTCTCGTGATCCATTTGCGTTTCTCGATTTCTGGGAGGCGAGCCCCTGTGTTGGAAAAAGTGAAGACTAGACCATGTTTCACGTACATAGCGTTGGTGGTTTCAATTTTCTCCTTGGGATAGCACCAGACTATGATTTCCTTTTCCTCTCCGTCCTGCTGAATCTTCTTTATAACTTTTTCCCCTTTGATTTGCGGCGATTCCAGTAGGAAACGGAGGGTTTTGTGGTCGACCAGTGCTCCATTTGTTTGTTGGACCAGTGCTCCATTTGTTTGTTGGTTTTTGTCTGCATTTCTTGTGTTGGTTGCCACCACTGAAGAAAAGCGGCGTTGGAATGTGACTGGGGCTGCAGATGCCATCTTGGCCTGGGTGGGGTGGAGATGGCTGCGATCTCCTCCGTTGGCCGAGCCTTCGATCGCCTGGCTATTGCAGCAGTCACTACAGTAGCGATGCAAACACAGCAATTGAAGGTGACGAGATCCGAGCTAGAGAGTTAAACACACCCGACTGGTGTTGAAGTCTGGGAAGTGTTTTTGCTTGCAGTATTTCTTTGTCTTTTGTTCTTTTTCGTCCTTTTAATTTGGGGGTGGGGTTTGGCAATGAGATTCCCTTTTTACCTTTTTTCCTTCTTTTTGGTATTTGGGTTTGGGTGGGGTGGAGACGGCTGAGCTACCCTCCGCTGGACGAGCTCTCGATCGCCTGGCTATAACAGCAAACACAACGGTAACAATGCAATTACACGATTTAACGTTGACGAGATTCGAGCTAGTAAAGTACAAACATGCGCCTGGTGTTGAAATCTGGGGCGTGCTTTGCTTCCAATATCTCTTTTTTCTTTTTTCTTGTTCGTCTTTTTGATTTGGGTGGGTTGGGCAATGAGATTTCCTTTTTTTCCTTTTTCCTTCTTTTTCTAGTTTTTAGGTTGCTGTTTTGATGTTGTCGTTCTGACTTTCTTTGTTCTAATTTGCTTACGTGGTAGGCCTACGTGTCGAAAATGTGAAAGAACGAAAGAGTTGAAAAAATAATAGTTGAGGTTGTCTGTTTGCGTTGGTAGCGGGACGGGATTTTGGTTCCGGGATTTTTCAAGACCGGGATGGTGGTAATTCCCTCCCGGTCTTGTCGAAATGTGAATCACGAGAGCGTCAATCCTTTCTCATTGCTATCGGGTCCGAAATTTTTTGAACTCACTGTAGTGCAAACTTCCCTTATCTGGTTCTCTATTTTTTAATGTGTCTTAGTTACTCGGATTGAGAGTGTGCCGTCTTACTGACCCCATGTAGGGATCGCGGCAGCAGCGGGAGGCGGCTGCATGTACGTGGTCTACGTGGCCTGGTCGGGGCTAAGCCCGGCCAGGATTGGGCGGCGTGAGGGGTTAGGGTGTGGTGGGCGGAGGTGGGTAATGTGCGTTGTGCTGCGGGGGGATGGAGTTGGGAGGG